AAAAATTAAAAGGAGTGGTGCGTTGTGTTTCTCGCAAGAACATGAGATTAAAATTAAAGGTAATGTCACATATTTGCTTGCATATATTTTTTTTCAATTTTATCTTCTACAGATTACTAAACTTATAAAGGATGTTGAGGACTCCAAGAAAAAATGTGCTGCTATTTCGAGTGAAGCTCTCGAAGAAATTATAGCCACTTTACCAAGTACCCAGCAAGAAGCAGTAAGAATGTGTTTTGCTGCGGCTCGAGTATCCAATGCTAAAAATAGACGTTACACCCTTGCATGGATATATGAATGTTTGTTAATTAGAATTAAAGGAAGAGCAGTTTATGAGCATTTACGGAAACACAAATTACTCCCACTCCCTTGTATAGGTAATTTTTATATACATAGATATGTATAATATACATAAGAAGGAAAAGATTAAACGGCCTAGCCCTCAACAACTCGCAACCATATACAAAACGAGTTGTTGAGGGCTAGGCTGTTTAATCTTTTCCTTCTTTTTTATATATTTCCCTCACTATTTCATTCTTATTTATAATATACATATAAAGAAGATACCTTTGACATTGAACTTATGGAACTAATATAACCATAATATAACCTTTTTAATTTCACAGAAACCCTAAACAAATATATTAATAAGATGAATGGTTGCTATGGTTTTCAAAAGTCAACCTTTGAACTGCTGAAGAAAAAAACTGCATTTATGAAACCAGAGGAACGAAGAGGTAAAAAGTATAGTTTAATGTGGATTTACAAGCATCCGTAATGCGTCGTCCGTTCTTTTTATGCAATTTTATTGGTATATTTCAAAAATGACATCTCATACTTGAATAAGATTGGAATAACAGAACGACGGAGACGCATTACGGATGTATATAACATCACCTTTATTTTTAAATTAACTGTTGTGGTTGCATGTATAATGTAAAACAAAAATTAATTTAAGTAATCTATTTTTTTAAGGCACTCTTCTTATAGATGAGATGAAGTTGAGTGAAACGCTCGCCTTTAATAGCAAGTCATTAGAAATTTGCGGTTTCACGGACTTGGGGAAATATACCCCTTTACACCAACGAAATGAAAAGGGAGACCACGCATTAGTTATGATGTTCCAGCCCTTTCGAGGTGCATGGGTACAGGCTTTAGCATGCTTTTTAAGCAAGGGATGTGCTTCTTCGACAGTTTTACATCACCTCATAGTTGAATGTATTCTCCTTCTGGAGAAAACAGGTCTTTCCATTGATATTGTAACAACTGATGGTGCATCATGGAACAGAGCCATGTGGAAAAGGTTCAACATCTCAGAGGAACATGTCTCTTGTCAACATATCTGTGATTCCACCCGACGCCTGTGGTTTTCTTCGGACTTTCCGCACTTAATAAAAAACTTTAGAAATTTTATTATTAAAAGATCCGAGACATGGGTGAGCAATTTTAGGAACATATTACTTATTTAATACAAAAAATTGATTTATGTTAATGTTACAGACACCTGATGGAGTTGTAAAATTAATACACTGGGATACAGTTGTAGAAATGGAGCAGCCCAACAGTTTTGCGTTGAAGATTTGTCCAAAACTGTCTAAAGATGACATCCATCCAAAACTTTATCAGAAGATGAATGTTGGTAGAGCTTATCGAGTATGTTCTTAATAAATTACATTAAGTTAAATTGATTAATGTATGTGACAGTTTTTTAGTGAGAAGACTGCAGCTGCTATGGAAATATATAAAGACAAAAATTCCAACTTGGCAACCTGTGAGCCAAGCATAAAATTGATTAACCATATGTCAACACTCATCAAAATTATGAGCTCAAGAACACCATGTGATAAAACTTTGAGACCAGGATCTAGGGAGGAACAGGTTGTTACAGTTGATAAATTTTGTGTTTAGTATTATTTTTAAATTTACTTTCTTTATAGTTTATTAAAGAATTTTTGGCGTATTTACATGACTGGGGGAATGAGGCTAAGGCCAATAATTATTTTTTTTTATCTGAAAATACTTATCATGGTCTAATTGTCACATTAAAAGCCACACTTGGTGTCATGAATTTTCTGTGTGACAATTATGGATATGAATATTTAATGACTGCAAAATTGAACCAAGATGCTCTTGAAGTAAGTTAAATACAGTTTGTAATACCTGATTGTTACTAAGAGTATGTTTATTCTTTTCAGCGTTTTTTTGGAATGATGAGAAGCGCTTGTGGTTCTAACGATCACCCAGACTCAAGGCTTTTCATCCAAATGTTTCGCTTAATAAGCACCTATTCACTGGTCAAACCACCTAAAGGTAGTAATATCGAGGGTTCGGACTTATTGAGAAGCCTATTGAATGTTGAGGAGATCGTTAAGTCAGAAGAAAACGCAATAAGGCTTCGAAATAGTCTTGACAGTTTGATGGAAAGTGGAATTTGGTTTAATAATAGTGATAATGATAATGTAGAGGAACATAACTATAATGCTATGAGAACCTCAAATTTTGTTTTGTCGTATGTTTCTGGTTATGTTGCCCGAAAAGCAAGTAGATTTTCGAAATGTGAGAAGTGCCTGCAACATATACAAAGTGTAGAACCTCAGAACGGAGATCAACTGATAGAAATATTAAGTAGAGGATTTTTAATATTTCCATCAGTTGCTCTCCGGTCTCTAATATTAACAATAGAATCAACAGTCCTTGAAGTGTTATCAACCAATCAGGTACATCAAGAGACATTGTTTGATATATTATCAAAATTGGAAGATAAATGTATATCTTTTGTTGGGTGTGATGAACACAAAGAACAGTTTACCACCTCAATAATCAGATTCTACATTATCAGTAGAATGCACTTCATTTGCAAACAGGCGAATAGAACTGACCAAAATAAAAAAGAAAAAACAAGGTGGTTAAGAAAACAATCTAAATTGTAGTGGTAGAGGTATAGGCTTGGCACAACATTCTCCGCTAGTTTGTTTTGTACCTAGATCATATATACTGTGTTTAGTGTGTAAAAGTTCTAATATAAAGGTGTCCAAATTATCTTTTCATAGGCAAGTAAAGTATTTAGTTGTTTTTTTATTTATATTAAGCCACTTGCATACTTTCTGGTTAGATTTCCTAAGAATATTGATATTCGTACAGAGTGGCTAAATGTATTTTTTATATAATTTAATTTTCGTGACAGTTTATATAATTCAATTTATTGTTGAAATATAAGCATTTTACAAATTAAATTTTTAAAATTAATGTTCAAACTTGGGGCGCGGACGATAAGTCCTCGACAAAGATAGATAGAGTAGAAGCACCGCGTGTGCAACAAAAAAAGAAGATAAATGGAAGTCATTGATATGTTTGTGACAGTTTCTATAGTGATTTACTTATCCACGTAAGTATATATGATCTAGGGTTTTGTATAGGCTTGGTGCATTTCAGTTGATTTCAACAAATTCCGACCGCAGCGCCGAAAGGCAAAAATCAGAAATTATAAGTACCTACATATTTCGCGCCGCCTTCATGTTGATCGCATTAAAATAATATTGAAATCGTGGTTTTCTCATAATATTTAAGTGTTTTAGTTTTTTGCTAGTGCAGTTATTGAGACTAAAACACTCAGGTACGAGGTTTGTGTGATGTAACACTGTTTCGGGTAGTAAAAAATAAGTGAAAAAGAATTCGAACTAGGCACTGTCTTGTGACAATTTCAAATGTTAATAAAATTGCCGAAAAAATGTTAACGCGTAATTTGGGCGTTGTTGGGTGCAATAACATTCAATAATTTAACTTTCCCGGATGTTCAAATCTCCCCAAACAACATTTTATAGCTTCATAGTTTCTCACACCGATTTGATCAAAAGCAAAAATGGATTCAAGCAGTTCGACAAATGAGTAAACAAAGTGCTCGTTACATAATCAAAAAATTAAATAGACATATACTATGAGAGGATACACAAGTAGTAAAGACTAATAATACAGAGGACTACAACTAGTAAAAACTAACAATACGAGAATTTTCTCATAGCATTATAGTTATAGTATAGCAAACTGTACCTCTCTATCCCAGATACACTATAGATGGGAGAATATTATCAAAACCAACTATAAACATGTTATGTAATAAATGACGACTCTCATTTATTACATAACGTGTAACAAATATTACTTTCTTGAAAAAACTTCTGGGTAATTCGCCATTTGCACTGTAACAGCGCTTTCAGATGGAACGGACCGTCCGCGACTTCGAGCAAGTACCATGAGTTTATATGAACAATTTCACATGGGTCGCGTTATGCTCCGTCCGGATGTTGTTCATATAAACTCATGGTACTTGCTCGAAGTCGTGGACGGTCCGCTCCATCTGAAAGCGCTGTAAGAAAATCTACAAAATAAAATAGTTATTTTTTGTAAACACCACGACGTTGATAGAACAAAAACCAATTTGTTAGCTATATCTATATATATACAGGGTGTCCCAGAAATAAGTGCAAGTATTTTAACTGGTAGTATAGTTCGACCCTAGAAACACGCCTACGAGGTTTTTTGACAAAAAAGAATTGTTGAAAATTTAAAATTCTTTTTGACATTTTCAGGGAAATTTTAAAAAACTTTTTGGTGCCATTTGTTTATTCACCTGAAGGTGCGTTGACACCGATTGCGCCGCTCCGCGCCGCGCAAATCATTTTTTTAGCATATACTTTTGTGCGCGCTAAAAAAAATACACTTCAAAAGTACATGTTAAAAAAATGTTTTGTACGCCGCGGCGCGGAGCGGCACAGCCGCCCGATGTGATCGCACCTTGAAATTTCTCCTACGGTGTATCTAAACCTTGCAGTGTTGTATTGAACGTTATTATTACTCCTCGATATTACTCCCTTGAGTGTTGCATTGTCTTACAGTGTAAAGCTTGATTTTCATGCGTTCGTTATCCGATGTTAGGGATGCCAAGAAGGGATTTTTGAAATTCTGAAAGGTTGCATAAAAATTTGTTAAAATATGTTTTAGGAGATGAAATTTGTCCCCTAAGGGGATGCATTGAGGAGTAAATTTTGTATAAGAAAAAAATTTAATCTGTCCTAGGTGTATGAAATTTTGCACAGATATCCCTTAAGGGATGAAAGTGAATATTCATAATGAGATACATAAGCAATTTTTGGAAATGTTTACCCTAAGAGGGTAAAACTTGGAAAAACTTGTTATAATCGCTCTTTTAAAAGTATGAAATTTTGCACAGAGGTTTCTTTGGTGACTTAATTGAATATTATGTAACGTTTTCTGGAAATTCGCACCAAAAGGGGGCGAAATGAGGGGTGAACGAGCAGAAATTTATCGCTTGAGGGGGCGAAATTTTCTGTAAAAGCTTTTTAAAATCTGTCCTAGGAATCTACTAAGAACGTCGATTTTTGAAAATTTATCTCTTAAAAGGGTTATATTAGGGGTGAAAATTTGTACAATTTTTTAAAATCGGTTCTAGATGTAGTAATTTCATAAAGTAAAATTACGTATTACTACTGACATATTTGCATATGTCAGATTGTAAATTTATTATAAAAATTATTTAGATTTTTGACTAGCCGTCGCAAGACGCTTTTTCATTGAGGAATAATAAGAAATAATTTGAAAATTATTGTATTGTGGTTGATACTTTTGATTGTGTATATAAACCATTTAGAATAGTTTTTATGAATATGAATAAGCTCTTTAAATTAATATGTAGGTATATTGTAGCTAGGTATTTTTTTAGAATGCATTTTTTTTAAATTGTAATTTTTTGTGTTCTTGATATAATATGATGTTCCTGTTTTATTTTTTGGCATAGTACATATAGATATTTAATATCTAAGTGCTAAATTGTATATTAAATTTATATATTGTATATTTTATTTATTAAATTTAGTGGAATTAGTTAATAGAAACAAAAGTTGTAATGTATTAATATTGCTAAATAAATATTTATATGATGAAATAAGTCAGCGTATATACATATTCACAACTCTGTATTTTTGTGCTTTTGAAATAAACTGAGTACATTATTTATTCATTAATATTTTATTTACAAACCTACCTTATATTAATAAAGTGAATATCAATAGAAAAACCTTTACAATTATTAGGTGACATTGAATATAATATATCTTGAATTTAATTGTCTACGAAACAGTGACAATTTGCAAAACTTTGCTAATGACATTAAAACTTACAATTCAACGCTAGAAAAAACGCTATTGAACACAGGAAACGTTTCAGCTCAATATACCTACTCTCTAGTTTCAGCTATAAAAAGTTATGGAATAGATAACACCGATCAAAGGGTGCAATGGTAACGTTCGTCTTCAGTTTCCATTTATGATTAAGTTATTCCTGATAAAATACTCTTAATTTTCGTTATTCAATCTGTCAATCGCCATAAAACCACTACTAGTTCGAAAGATTTTAATGTTTATTAAAATGGTATCACACTAAACTGCATGTAAACATGTCAATTTCAAATGTTTTAATGAAAAACTATGAACCTTTAAACTGCATCAACAAAACTATTAATAAAACACTAACACAATCACACCATAAACTATTTCATTCGCATTTCTCATCAAGAAACAATTACTGTTTACATCAAATCAAAGGTTGAACTGGTGATAAATTTGTTGCTGGAACTTCTATCTTTTTTGTACAACAGTTCTAGGGAAGATTTATTTTAGCAGCTTATATGTTTCTTCGGTCGTGTATGCACTAAAAAGAACCACATAATAAAACATTTTTATAATATCAACTTAGGAAAAGGATATATTAAACCGGCATCTAATATAACCTAACTAACTTTTCAAACTCAAATTTAAGGTTTTGTATTCACAATTTTAGCCACGCACATTGCTCAATTAGAAAAACCACGTTTCTAAAAGCTAACTCTGGTAAAAATATGCCCAAATATTAACTTGGCTCTATAATTTATAACAAAATAGTTATTCTTGCCATAAGAAGCTGTGTATTTCTAGTATCCCAATCATCACAAGCGCCCCTAACGGCGATTTTCGAACTTCATTTAGATCTCAAAAACTGGGCCCATAATTTTTGCGTTCGATTCGCCTCCTCCTTTTAGACTCCATAGTTAATGTTATATGAAACTTTTCGTAATTAGGCAACTGGTAAATGACGTGTGACGATAAATTAATAAAATAATAATGAACGTATTAAGTTAAATATTTATATATTAATTTAACATATCTATTTCATGTTTATAAATTACATAATTTTTAATTTGGTATACCTTTAATTTTATATATTCATAATGAAATGAAATATATTTCGATATAACGTTTGGCAACCACGCAACTGAAGTGCAAGCGACATCTGTGCAAGAGAAGCAAAACCTCCCAAAAAAGTGAGAAAATAAATCTAAAAATTTCAGATTATTCAAATGTCACTCCAATATTTTTCCAAATTGGAGTGAAATTAGGGTGACAATTTTTAACACGTAAGGAGCCATCTGGATTATGTGTTATCTGTGATAGTACCGATCAGGGGTGCAACTTTGTTCAAGTTAGCAACCGATCGTTTAGAAGCGATGTCTAAGCCAGATCGGTACTATGTTTATTGCAAAACTATTGTCGCTCAAATGCTGCGAAATATGGTATCACTATCACACTCTTGCACACGTGTGCGACACGGTCTAGTCTGTCGCCTCGCCACAAAGCGAGAAATCAGAATATCGCTACGAATCGATGTTGCTACTGAACATAGTGCCTCAAGCTACAAATTACTTTACTATCGCTTTGAAACATGAACAAAGTTGCACCCCTGGCTTCGACATCGCTTCTAAACGATCGGTTGCTAACTTGAACAAAGTTGCGCCCTAGGGCCGGATTAAAACGTATCAAAAAATTTCACAGAAAATAAACTATTGATAGACAGGGTCGTACTAAAAAAATACTGTAATTGACTGAAACTGAATTTTATTTACACAATACTTTTATCTAAACAAATGAATCGTAAACCGCGCATACTCCTTGAAAAGTAAAAATGATAAAATCAATTAAACATTTAACTGTAGAGAATAGACAATTAAAATTAAAAAACATGCCAGGAGTTACAAACAAAAATTAAAGAAATACTCAATAAAATATCTGTTGAACAATATAAAGAGGCTACGTACAAATTATGCCCATCAATGGACGTAGCAAATTTTGTTAATATTCAAATTTCGCTAATTAACAAATCAGCTAAAGGAAGAAACTGATGAATTTAAGTATAAATGTCTGGCGATATACTTTTCCCGGCCAAAAATATACAAGACGCTCTTGACAAATCTATTTTGCCTTCCACGTCCAGAGACCCAGAGACACTAAGAAAATGAATATATGACATCGATATTAAACCTGGCTTAGAAAATCTTAGGGTATGTATTTGAGACTCTAAAAAGCAAACTTGAAAGTTTCGATGAACCAGATGAACTTAATCGATATTGTGTTCTATGTATTGATGATATGAATGTCAAGTTCAACTTATTTTATAATAGCGATCGTGATAATATTGTGGGTTTTGAGGACCAGGAGAACGGGAACAGAGAGTTTAAACCAGCTCGGGTGTCTAATGTTGTTATGGTAAGTGGTATCTTTACCAATTAGAAGCAATCCCTAGCTTATTTTTTTATCACACTACATGCACAGGTAAACATTTGAAGGAAATTGTATTTAACGCAATTATTAAACTTAAAAATATTGGTATGAACAATATTTTATTAACAAGTGATATAATATATAATACACTGCCAAACCACTATTATATTAAAAATGTTTAGAAAAACAAAAATAAAACTACAAAAACAAAATAGAACACACAAGAAACGAAAATAAAACTATAAAAATCAAATATATCACACAATAGAAAAAATAAAACTAAAAAACAAAATATATCACTCAAGAAAAGAATGAAATAAATTAAGCCGCACGCTACTGACTACTGACTCAAAGCTGCCGTACTTCTGCCGTAACTGTATGTTGTCGATGACAAAAATTACGACTGACTACGACACTGGTTAATTTCTGTTGCTGGCATCAGTGTTCGGAAAACTACATGTTACATTTAAAAACTACATAAACTACATTACGTGTAGTTTATGTAGAGGGTGTAGTTTATGTAACATATGTATGTAACTTTCAAGTGTCAAAGGTATGAGGTGAGGTTATAATAAGTTAAAGCTTTAGAAAACACATAATTTATTTAAGAAAACAGAAGAGAAATATGGCTTTAAATATAACCATTCACATCATATTATTTAGACTCCTCATACAAAGCAAAATTATTCATAATATCAATAGGTAGTTTATTAACGTAGTTTTCATGTAGTTAACGAACGGGAAAAGACGTAGTTTTTGAAGAAATACTACACGTAGTTTATCAGGTATATTACGTCTTAATTAACTACTTCCGAACCCTGGCTGGCACCCATAATGGCGGCGAGGCGTGCACAAGGATATGCGCGTAGCGTTCCCGCCAAGGGTTCCCGTCAAAGCGAGTCGGCCTGCCGTGTGATTTATATGCCGTGGTATAGCCGTGTTAAAGGCACGGCACATAAAATAATCGGCACAACTCTGCTTAAAATTTCTATAAAATTTGACCTTGACGGCGCCATTAGCGTTTCCAAGTCAGGGCCGGATTAAAACGTATCAAAAAATTTCTCAGAAAAACTATTGATAGACAGGGTCGCATTAAAAAAAATACTGTAATTGACTGAAACTGAATTTTATTTACACAATAAAACAAATGAATCGTTAACCGCGCATACTCCTCGAAAAGTAAAAATGAAAAAATCAATTAAATATTTCACTGTAGAGAATAGACAATTAAAATTAAAAAAAATGCCAAGAGTTACAAACAAGAATTAAAGAAATACCCAATTATAGAAGTGTCTAGCCCCAGCAAGCAACTATTAAGCTTGACCAATCAGGTTGGTTAGCGTAGTTATTTAAGAGTGTTAATTCATTTGTGCTTGTCAACAACTCTAACGTGATTGGTCGGGCTTAATAGTTACTTGCTGGGGCTAGACACAAGTATGATATGAATATCAGGTGCAATTTATTTTATAATAGTTGTAGTGGTCGTGATAATATTTTAGGTTATAGGCTTGGTGCATTCTCCGCCGGTGCTGCCACCATCGGAGAATACGTAAACAATATTTTTTAACTAAAATATTGTAACCAGTAATTTTCCAAGGCGAAGGAAAATGGCAACGTAGCGATGGACACGGCGAATTAGCATCGGCAACGGTGCGAGCCACAGAGAGGGACTGGCGGGCGGTGACACCAAATACGTTTAAATTAAAATATACGGCGGCCTCCCCATAAGAGCAGGTGGATGACACTTCTTATGGGAGAACTGGAAATGGTTGAAAACTTGACTACAAGCGATTTTCTAGGAATCTTCCTTACCGATAAATTATTGACAAGAGTGACAGATAAAACCATGACATTCTTTCAGTATAACTGTTCATCTCTTTTTCTTTCTAAAGTGTGCGTTGAAAGGAGACAAAAACAATTTTTTGCAACCCATAAATTGTTATTCGAACACCACTTTTCTCCTTGTCGGGTCGATGACGTTGACTTGTCGCCATTTTATTTCTTTTGTTTACACGCTGCAGTTTGCTTTGTAAATTGAATACATAAATTATTTAGGCAAATATAGGTTTTTGATAAAACTCCTTGGACTAACGTGTAGGTAAGTGTTGATAAATAAGTTTTTTTTCATCTTAACATGCTCATTGTCATTCTCCT